ATTTGAAATAGGCATAGCATACAAGCCGACACAATCACTTCATTCAATATTGTTTAGACCAAAAGATCCAACAGTAAAAGAAGATGAGATTAACACATTTGATAAAATAAATTGCATGAATTGTGATAAAAACTGTATTGGTCAAATCGGGTATCCACCTCGACTCAGAATCCATAAAAGATAAATTAGCTAGCTGTGAAGAGACATGACATATCTCAGGATTTCATCATGAACTCACATCGGTTAGAGAACCATTGGAAAACCTACAGGGAGTGCTGGACAGCTGCTTCGTCCTAGTTTGGAATTCTTCAGAAGTACGCACCCACTGAAGTTCGGACAGTTAGGACCATCTGGTAACAAGGCGAGCTATCTCGTAGACCATTAAGCCACTGGGACTCGATCCAATGAATGGGTTGATGAATTCAAACTTCTCTATTCTCTTTCATTTCGTTACATACAGGCAATGAAGGACACCAATTTGATTGAGACAGTGTATAAATTTCAAACAGTGGAGATATCAAATATGTCAAGAAATTTCTAGAAGCCTGATAGTACTCAGATGAGTCAGAGATTAATAAACGCATTACTACCAGACATTCCGATTTTACAAAAAATCACATGATAAGAAAGTCCATATTCCAAGTCAATAAAAATCAACTAGAATGCAGATTAACAATCAATCACGAATGACAGAAGTTGTCAGAAGATAAAATTATATCAACGTTCATGGAGAATTCAGATAAGTTCGTTTCATACTATAACCTGCGCTGTAGGTGTTGCCTAGAAAGGCAATTAAGCCTTCACAGTTAAATCAAACAGCTAAGAGAACATAACCGCCATATCAAAATAATACAGATAATCTGGAATATCTGATTGTAATAGATAACAGACAGTATTATATTCGACGCTTAAAGTAGGCTGTCTATTCATGGAACAGTAATCGGTGTCATATGAGTAGTTCTTGATGGTGATGAATGATGGCCGAATTCTATGAGTCTCATGGTTTCAGTCAGGGATGTCCAATGTCTCCATTTCTGTTCAATTTCATCAAAGATGTACTAATGGAATTAACCCTAACTGCTGACTTCAGCAACTCAGAGATTGACTTGTTACCATCAGGGAATAATATCGTTAACCTAGAATATGCAGATGATATAGTCCTCCCTCCAAAGGTGAAGACGCTGACAAAATAGAGCAGAGTCATCTGAACATCTTGAGGAATAACAATCTTCGAATGATTGGCATGTGATTCGCTCCCTCTGTCAAATGTAAGATGATGCTACAGGACTTGATTACATTGACTCCCAGCTTAAAGATAGGGAAGGAGTGAATTGGTGGCTACGCGTGTTGAACACTTCACTTTTTATTTGGGAAGTTGCACCAGCCAACGTAAGCGGCTTGATCACTGACGAAATCTCAGCACGGATACAGAAAGCTGGTTTAGCATACACCAACCTGCATCATCTCTTGCGCAGACGTGTTATTCAGACGGCTGTCAACCGAAGGGTGTGTGTACTGCTCAACAGTCCTCCGCCTTCATGGCTGTGAGATGGACTTTGAGAGTGGAAGATAATGAAAAGGCCAGCTGGCTTTGACCACAGATGTTTCCACTCTATCTCCTGTGTTAAGTGGTACAGTATGATTCGTAATACTGAGGTTAGGCGTCGAGAGGTAGGTAAGAAGAGCAATTCAATTGATGAAGCTGTAAAGGTACATCGATTGAGATGGTTGGGACATGTGTTATGCATGCACACCAGTTCATCCTCTTCCTCGTCAATGGGCAATGCTAGAAGACATAGGATGGATCAGGTTGGAAAAGAGCTAGTATCGGTCAAATCAAAACTAGCATTGCTTCATCAGCCAATGAAATGCACAACAGTCATTTTCAGTCAGCCAACCACGTAGGGAAGTGTAGACTTCCAGCCCTATTTGGGTCCTCTGGATGAGAGAGAGAACCAATGAAGGCTAAAGACAATTTGGTAATATGGCTCAAAATCGTTCTCAATGGCTGACGCAAATGTATTCGCCCTTTGTGATTTGTTATGTCCAATAAAACTCTATTATTCTTCTTTCGTGTTACTACTATTCGTTTTCCTTCACACTTCTGTTTATTATCTCTCTCTGTCTTTTGAAACTCTCTTTACTTTCCTGTCTTGCTTTGTGTGCTACATTGAAGTAGTTTGGCAACTCGAATTGCTGCACATCTCTGCAGAGTTCTTTGCTGAAACCAGTCAGTCAGTCACGAGTCATGTTTGCAAATATATAGTCACTACCCTACTTACGTGACTCACCACCACAGTTTACTTTGAAGTGATGTTTTGACGATTGGCTTAAAAATATGAACGTAAAGGTCTTTTTCTCATTCAAATTATCGACTTCAAAGAGTATACTAGGGAATTCAAAGCCCTAGTTACTAAATTCAGAGATATTACACCACTAACACTGAGGTGATAGTTTCTCAAAATCGTCATAATTACTCTGGTGTTTTACCCAATTGGAGTATAAACACACACACACAAATGTCATGTGAGTCATTTTCATCTCTTGATAGCTTGGCTTTGAGTAATAGTTTACTCATAATTGGAAACTTTACTTAACTGTGACAGTTGTGTTTTTGTTTACTTATTTTTCATTAATTTTTTTTCCTTACATGCATTTATAAAACATTTTTGTTTATTTATTTATTTTATTTATTAAAACAGCTTTGTGATCAATTTCAATTCAAAATGCAGCTTGCTTCTTTTCGTTTGAAACAATTAACACATTGTATAACCAACCAACCAACCAATAGAAATTAAGAATGCCCTAGGCAGTACTGACTGACATTTGATTGGTTGAAAGTAAGGTCGATATAAATGACCTTTGTGAATAGAAAATAAGAGAGGCGAGTGAAACAGACTAACAGTGTACAGGAAAAACAACTACAACCACAATAATAATGATGATAATAATAATAACATAAAAGTGAGAAAGTATTACTCGAATCAAATTCTCAGGAGGATGAAGGGGTAGAACACGTGTTGAGTGATTAAAGTCATACCCTAGGGGGCAATAAAATGAATATTCAAAGTGTTGGTTTGTAGGGATTTGATTGGTTACAGGATTTTCATCATGAGCTGACATTAGTTAGAGATCCATTGGAAAACCTGGGAGTACTGGACAGGTGTTTCGCCCTAGTTTGGGACTCTTCAGAAGTACGCACCCACCGGGATTCGAACCCAGGATCAGGAAAGCCAGGCAAGCTTTCATTTCTCTCAAGTCTGTGTGGAGGAGATCAACAGCACTCAGCATTAAAAATAACATCCATATTTTTGACTCCAATGTGAAGTCAGTGCTACTTTATGGATAAGAGACTTGACGCAGCGTCAAATCCCTACAAACCAACACTTGAATATCAATGAGATGCTCACTAGCAGGCAGGTAGTTACCTGGGATCCTGTGAGAAGTCGTGATCAGTAGGGTGCAACAGGTCGGGTGTGAGGACAAATACTCGCCGAAGACATTGGCTAGTGGTTGCGCTATATCATGAATCGGCAGAAGTTAGAATTCATGGGCCATTGGATCGGATTCCAGTGGCTTAATGGTATACGAGCTAGCTCTTCTTGTAACCAGAAGCTCCTGGGTTCGAATCCCAGTGGGTGCGTACTTCTGAAGAGTCCCAAACTAGGACGAAACGGCTGTCCAGTACTTCCAGGTTTTCCAATGGTTCTCTAACTAATGTCAGCTCATGATGAAAATGAGTATTCATCATTTAATGAACCGGTTCGATATATTATTTTATCACTAATGTTATTCCCTTAACTTCAGAGTGAAACACAACGCTTTCATCCTATTTTTCGCAGTATTCTTTAGTTGGCTTCACGATTGCCCATAGGCTCTTATTTCTTCCGCACACACAATCATTTCCTCCAATGTCAACCACGGACACAAAACCAACTCGTCGTCTTCAACATCACAGTCCCACTACCGCCTCAGCACGTAATATCATTCGAATGTCTCCCCCAGTGTGTGCCGCAACCAGATCCATTTCCTTCAGCATATTTGTCGGTCTATGAGTCTGAAACCTATTAAAAATACTTCCACTGACGAATCAAGTCTTCGAAAACCTCGATTAAAATAAAGAGGGAAGGTTGGGCGTGGGGAAAGCGACCTTACACTTCTGGGAAATCAATCAAACTGCTGCAGAAACTTCAACGCAAAATAAAAATATTAAAAATACCAAAAATACAGAAAAGAAACCTATTCATTGCTAGAACCAGAGATGGAGTGACGTAGGCTAGTGGAAGCCATCGGTTTGACATACGGCGGCCTGCTTAAACCCTGGACTAGAAACATTTTCTGTCACTTATATTGCTTGCATCTGATTACTTGGATTTATTTTGTTTTAATTATTCAATTATGTGTCCAAATCGTATTACTTACTCTCGCGATTATTTAAAATGTTTTCAACCTGATGATTTACGAGTTTATAATAAACTTAGGAAAAAGCATCATGGTGGGTGGCCACGATGCTTAAAGTGTACTCCAATGATTATGAGCGCAAACTGCAGGTCATTATCGAACAAGATTAATCACTTGGATGCTCTATTATGTTCAAATATTTATCGTAATACAAGTGTAATAACGCTTCAAGAAACTTGGCTCCACGATTCATATGATGAGAATTTAAACTCCCTGGATGGTTTAAGTATGTACAGACAAAACCGAAGCAGTTCTAGGAAGAAGCGAGGAGGTGGTGTTGCTACTTTTATCAGTTCTCAGTGGTCTGTTGCCAACCATGTTTGCTTTAAATTCTCAGATGATAATATTGACTGTATAGCTGTCAAATGTCGACCTAAACACCTGTCCAGGTGCAACTTCATTTTTATCACGAACATTTATGTCACACCTTGTTGTAGCACTTTAGAATTATTATTATTATTACGGGTGACACTACTGTGTATATATCATCTCAGTAAGATAGATGAACATATTAAAACAGCAGTGTTCAGAAAACTTACTTGAGCAAGATAATAGAGGTATTGAAGGACAGGAGCTTTACGTAACAATAGACCATGATTAATACTTTCAGCCAATAGAAAGCATGTAACCAAGTGGTTGATATTTCCAGCTTCACCAGAATGTGGTCTGAATGAGAAGGTGTTCAATCCACGATGACTGAAGAAATTTTGAGGAGAAAAAAAGAATTAGGGTGTAATAATTGATTGTCGAAAAAAAGTAGCACTTATGCCTCAGATAACAGTGCTCAGTCACCGGCACATTATGAACGGATATAACAAGTATATGTCTATTATGCAGGTGGTCCAGGGAAAGAATGCTCGCCACATACGAACATGGTACGGGTTCGATTCTCTATGACTCACTCTTAAATTTCATCTAGTTGACCTTACCGCGGAAGCAGAACTACTAGTGGGCATCAAGAGGAAGGAGGAGGAGGATCAGGAAAGCAAGGCAAGCTTTCATTTTTCTCAAGTCTGTGTGGAGATCAACATCATTGCTTAGCATGAGAAATAAGATCCAGATTTTCAACTCCAATGTGAAGTCAGTGCTACTTTATGGATCAGAGACTTGGCACCGCGTCACGAAAGAAATTTCGAGCAAACCACAGATCTTCATCAACAGCTGTCTTTGCTCAGTGCTTCTCTCAAAGATCAGATGGCCGACCAAAAAAGATCAGCAACAGTGAAGGATCTTCGGCAATGACCTAACCAACACAGCATGAACCGATTGTGCAACAAATATACAGTAAGAAATGGAGGTGGATTGGTAATACTCTGAGGAAACAATCAAGTGACATGACACGCCAGGCCATCATTCCAGTGGAACCCGACTGCATTGGAAGCGGCGAGTTGGTCGTCCAAGGGTGACATGGAGAAGGTTATGTGAAGAGGAGATGGAAGCGTTTGGACAGACTTGGAGCCAGGTAAAGACTCTAGCAGAGAACCGAACGCAATGGAGACGCACGGCTGAAGCCCTATGTTCCTCTAGGAATTAAAGGATACAATAATAATAATAATATACTTATTTTTGACTTTTTGCAACCTATTTCGAATTCCTTCGGTAAAATTTAGAATAACATATGTAAGCGAACAATATCGTTTTTTTTCAATTAGATTTCACCAAGGTTATGTCTGCACCAGTGGTACAGAGGCAGAATCGTCGCTGACCACGACTCATTTGGACCGGGGTTCGAACCCCGGCCAACGCACTGCCCTATCTTGCTAAGCCAGTAATTAGGCCGGTAAAGAGGGAAGGTTGGGCATGAGGCTAGCAACCCCATCCTATAAAAATAAACACCCCTGCTTTCGAAACGCGAAGCCTTTATGGCTTGAAGGCGGCCTATGTTCCACTTGGAACGTAAAGGAATAAAAAGAAAAGTGATTTGGTGGATGGTGTGACTGGCAGTGAGATCCAGGACAACGCACATTTCGTCTAATTTGGAACTCGTCATTTGAATGTACCTGCATTCCCCAGTGAGTGACAGTGTGTTTCCACTGATGCTCGAACCCAGTACTTATCGCTTCGAACTCCATAGCGTAAACCACTACACTGTTTGAGCTACGAGAGCCGCCTCCTGCTCAACGGCTATCAGTTGTTATATAATGTAGTTAAATTTTTTCCAAAGTGTTCGAGTCCCATCACAGTAGGGACACTATCACTTAATCACTGGGGAATTCAGGTACATCCAGCTCATGAGTCCCAAATAGGACAAAATGTGCATGCAGAATTACACTGCTAGTCAACATCCACAGACATCGTCGAAGCGTTTGCACAAGTTGGTGACATGTCAACGGAGGTCGAACACATCGGTCCAATCAATCAACGAGGAAGTAAAAATTGAAGTAAATAATTTAGGCATAATAGTTCGAATGCCTATCGCCTCAGCTATATTATTACAGTAGACAAATATGTAAGGCTATTGGAGAGATTCGGCAGGATGCTATGAATCAATCTCACCTTGAATTCTTTCGTTTTCTCCAATGACTGAATGACCAGAATCAACTGAATGTGATTCCCTATTTAGCAAGATCATTTACTATTTTTTCGCATACATTTTTGTTTATACTTTTGTTACAGACTGACGATAACCTCTGACCTTTGTTACCAATATACATTATACGTATAAACATCTAAATATTTGTGTATCCTTCCCGAACGCTGAATATGTCTTTAATTAGGACTGCAATGGAAATGTCACATATCCATAAAAGTTTTGATGGATGGCATATAGAAATACAATTGAAGTCAAGATATCTTAGCAAAATTCAAGATACTACTTTGAAGTAGTATAGGTAGGTACAGTCATTTATTATTTTGTTGATAAAATAAATGCACACACACACACACACAATGGGAGGTGTAATCCACATAGCTCAAGAATAATGTCATAGTATGACAATAATGATAAATGAAAAGTATAAGTACATAAGTTCAAAATCTGTCTAGCATATTCTTATGTTTTTTGAGTTTGATCGCGGATTGATATTTGTTAGAGAACCATTGGAAACCACCCAGCGAGTACTGTTTCATCCTAGTTTGGGAATCATCAGCAGTACGCACCCACTGGTAGAAGTTAGAATTCATGGGCTAGCCATCGAATCGGGTCCTAGTGGCTGAATGGTATACGAGCTTGCCTTGTAACCGGAAGCTTCTGGGTTCGAACTCTGGCAGTGGGTGCGTGCTGATGATGAGTCCTAAGTACTAGGATGAAACATCTGGCCAGTACTCCCTGGTTTTCCAATGGTTCTCTGACTGATATCAATCCGTGGTCGAACTCGTAAAAACAAACGAAATTCTTACAAATCAACCCGTGAATATTGTTATGTACGCGATTGTAGGATTCAGACAAACAAACGGTGTGTGGAATACATTTATGTCAACCGACTAAGCTAAAGCATGTGTGATTGGATGGAGATAACATCAGTTAGAGAACAACTAGAAAACCTGGGGGTACTGGACAGCTGTTTCACTCCACTTTGAGACTCCTCATCAGTACGCACCCACCCCACTGAGGTTCGAACCCAGGACCTTCTGGTTACAAGGTAACCTCGTAGACCATTGAGCCACTGAGACCCAATCCAATGGCGCATGAATTCTAACTTCTACCAATTCACGACATAGTGCGACCATTTCGCCCTATCCAGGCAGTGACCTGGGATTCTAGTGAGAAGTTGTGACGAGTGAGATACAGCAGGCTGAAGGTGATGAAGCAACTCATCGAAGAAGATATTGTATAGTGGTCGTGGTATTAGCTGAAGTTAGAATTCATGGGCTAGTCATTGGATCGGGTCCCAGTGGCTTAATAGTCTACAAGCTAGCTCGCCTCGTTACCAGAAGGTCCTGGATGCCAACCTCAGTGGGGTGAGTGCGTACTGATGAAGAGTCGCAAACTAGGACGAAACAGCTGTCCAATACTCCCAGATTTTCCAGTGATTCTCCAAATGATGCAAGCTCATGATGAAATCCTCCGTCCAATCAAACAAAATCCCTATAAAACCAATACTTGAAAATTAAAGTATGTGAGTGTGACACATATAGCATTTTAAGGCAGCAATTAATCCACTCACGCAACCAAAACAAGTCAGCAGTGAAATGTGATTAGCATATGACTACTTTCGCTTACGTCAGTCATTGCATAGTCAGTCTTTTTAAAGAGTCATCCTCGTCGCAGTAGAGTTCACCGCCAAACAAGGTTCGTTTTTATATTAAACTATTCTTTCCACCTAACATAAACCAGTCTTCGTTACTACTCAGAAACCACGTTGGGAATTAGCAGAACAAGTCTAGTGCTTGTATCTAATACCTAGATATTAGTTGGCAGAAATGTCCTATCTCTACTCAAGTTTCTCTTTTAACTAGAGAAGTCAAGTCATTTCTCATATCTACACACACCTAAAGGTTCTGGCATCCATCCCAATCAGTGTGGTGATTGGTTCGTACTGATAAAAGGAAAAGATTTCTCAAACTAGGACAAAACAAACTGTTCAGAGCCCCAACCTCCAGGCTATCTAACCGATTTCAGTCCATGGTTCAACTTAAATCAATACCTTTGTAAATTGGAGAACTCCTGAACATAACAGGTGCCTTCCATTAGCTGACTTAGTGTCAACCTAAAGCCTTGCGTAGAAGTACAACAGTTCGAGTTGCCACACTCTACATGTAAAAGACAAAGTTAGAGAGAAGAGAGAAAATTGAACTATGAATGGGCAGAAATGTGCAGGAGAAAGAAAGAATAAGAACGTGGTAGAACATTCCGGTTTAATGGGTCTGAGAATGGTATCGAAAGATATCGGCCAGAAGTCTCTCATTATTGGTTCTGAGCATACCGGGAATGCGAACAAGTAGTCTGCACCTCCCCTACTTGGCTCAAAGTATCTGACGAAGATTCTATGAAATTGAGAGATATGAACAGGTCAGCTATCTTTGATCATAGGTGTCTGCGTTCTGTCTTCCGTTTTAGATGGAGAAATAGGGGTGAGCCACGTAGGGATGTGTATAGGTTTCCCAGTTAGGGCCCTAGGTGGTATGCTAAAAATCATTTGCTGGAGACAATTAGTTCCATTTATAAATTTAGACAAAGCGATACGAAAAATTACTTCTTCTAATTGCTTTGTTCTAAATTGGTGATATGGATCAAAATTTTTCTCAGTGGCAAGGATCCATTCACTTTTTCTGATACCACATTTCTCCATATTATCGATCTTTTGAATCTCTTTTACTCTCTTCCTTTCAGCTTTATATGCCACATGGGGTATGACAACTTGAATTGCTCTACTTCTGTGATGAAAAGTACCTTGCTGAAACCAGTCAGTCACGAACTGATGTCAGGTTTCAGTTTGACCGCCACCTTAACTCTTCTTCAATCTAATCCTATGTCAGCTAACATTCTTCGCCGTGAAAGGCGGTGACTAGGCATGAGTAACACATGTCCTAGCCATCTTGATCGACTTAGCATCATAACCTGCCTTACCTAACACTTTTTTTTCCTTCATGTTCCCAGTGGAACATAGAGATTCAAGCTAGAGGCTTGAAGTTTCTGTAGCAGTGTTTATTTTAACAGGATGGGGTTGCTAGCCTCATGCCCAACCTTCCCTCCTTACCAGCTTTTATTACTGGCTTAGCGAGGTAAAGGAGTGCGTCGAACCCCGGACCATGTGCATGTTCGGCGAACATCCTAACCACTGTGCCACTGACGCACACCCTAACACTACAAGATTATAAAACCAGGAATACTGAAATATAGTCGCTAGTTACTATACAAAAATATCACTCACCTTCTAAATTGATTCAATTGAGCTATATTAGCATACATGTAGAATATATAATAAGAATAAGGTGGATTCTCATTTAAATCATACTCATCCGGTGTTGGCGTAGAGATATTGAAGACAATCTTATCCGATTTGGATTCATCGTCCACAGAATCGAAACCAGTTACATACTGGAGAAATGCATGCAACTCAGGATGTGATTTAGGATTGGCTGTGACTTCAAATAATGGCTGGAAAACATTTGTAATAATGTCCTGGAAAAGGAAAAAAGAATGCATAGAAAGTGAAACTCAAAAATGATGATTATCTATACTTTGTAATGACCTGACGAAACCTGATGTTTCGTCAGGGAAAAACCAGGGAACACTGGACAACTGTTTCGTCCCATATTGGGACTCTTCGGCAAAGCGCACCCACGGTCTCATCAAGTATTGAACCGAAGATATTGAGGTTACGAGGTCAACTTCATTGATGAATCAGTTACTTGAAACTGAATCCAGTCACCCATGAATTCTAACTTTATGGAGCGTTAGTTAGCTGGGATTTGAACGCTTACAAATTGGTTCTCAAGCTGACATCAATAGTAGAACCATAAGAAGATCAAAGGGTACTGAACAGCTGTTTTGTCCTACTCTCAGACTATTCGGAAATACGCATCTCCCAGAGTTCCAACGTAGGAACTCTTGGTTACACAACTAGCTCGCTACCCTCAACCAATATCTGCAAAGAGCATCTATCTCAAGATTAGATGGATGCTCTTTAGGTGTCGAGTTCTAAGTAAGGGGGGGAAATCAATCAACGAAGCTGTGAAATTACATTGACTGAGATGGTGAGGAGTGGTAAAGCACGTCGACCGCTACACTTATTTGAGAAGTACTATCAGCCAACACCAACGGGTTGATCTCTGACGAAATCTCCGCACAGATACAGAGGGCTAGTTCTGCATATGCCAGTTTACGCCGTCTCTGGCGTAGACGTGATATCCGACTGGCTATCGACCAAAGGGCGTGTGTACTGCTCAACAGTCCGCTCCGTCCTCCTATATGGCCAGCTGTGGGACCTGACCATTGAAAGTGGAAGACATGAAAAGGTTAGCTGTCTTTGATCATAGGTGCCTGCTCTCTATCTACCGTGTGAAGTGGTATAATAATGTGAGCAATATTGAGGTTAGGCGTCAAGTAAGGTAAGGAGGAAAAATCAATTGACGAGGCTGGGAGTTTACTTCGAATGAAATGGTTAGGACATGTGTTACGAATGAATGTCTAGTCATCGCCTTCCTCGACAATGGGCAATGTTAGCTGATATAGGTTCAGGCTGGAAAAGAGCTAGTGGCGGTCAAACGAATATATGACACCAGTCAATGAAATCTATAACAGTTAGTTTAAGCCACGTAGGAAGGTGTAGACTGGCTTCGTGACTGGTTGGGGTCCTCGGGACGGTAAAAACCAATGGTTGGAAACAATTGGTGACATGGCTCAAAATCGTTCTCAATGACTAGCGCAGATGCATCCACTCCTTATGACTTATGATTTCCAATGAAACTGTTTTGTTCTTTGTTATTACTATTCCTTTGTCTCACACCTCTGTTTGCTGTCTATATTATGCATTTCTCCTACTTTCTTTTCTTGCTTTGTGTGCTACAAGGAGGGAGTGTGGCGACTTGAACTGCCGCTCATCAGTGCAAAGTTCTACGTCAAAAACAGACAGACAGACATCTCACCTTGAGATATTAGACCCTGATGGTGACAACTATTCAGTAGAGCTCAAGGAGCTTGATCTAATAACCTGAAGTTCCCGACATCGATTCTTAGTGAGGTTGTGAGTATATACCACTGAAGAGTTCAAAACTAGGACGAAACAGCTGTCCAGTACTCCCTAGTGACTTTCAATGATCTCTCTAACTGTTGTTGCTTCTTGATGAAAACCTTACAACTGAAATTCACTCAAATCCCAGCAAACATCCATAATCTCAGTATCACATAGTTAATGTTTAAACCCACATAGTCCGGGGTAAGCGCACAATTTAATACTATTTACATCGGAAGTAACAAATTTGTTTTTTTATTAGATCAGAATGGTAAGGTAAACAAAAGGTTTTTGAAGGGGAGCCAAGTACAAGTGTATGTAGACACGTTTAACATCTCTAATGAGGTAGTCATTACGTCAGATAAAGAAACATGCAACATCACAAACCCTATTTCACACACACTTACACACACACACACACGTATACAAAGACACCCACACACATATAACAAATAAACAAACTTCGAATTTTCAATAAAATCTATGTAAATTGTTTTAATGTTGTGAAACAATTGACTCTGATAAGTTTTTTTTTTTAAATGGCAGTTTGTTGTAGCGTTTCACCGAAAAAAAACAAGTGATCTCCGTCATTATATTCAACAACAAACGCCGGAATACATAAAAAAGTTTCCCTTCCATTTTGACCATTTATTGATCAATTAAATTACCAACCTGACTACTACTCATCATTGTGAGCATTAAACTCAAGCAACAACGAACAATAAACAAATACGTCGATGAAATAAAACGTATTACATGAAGTTACAGAGATTGATAGTGACTAAGTAGTGATAGTGGAATCCACAATGACCAATCCATCTAACTTAAAACTTACCAGGTGGATGCACAGGCATACCCAGGTAAGTGGCTGATGGTGTTCTCCCACTGTGACTCGAGCACAATTCTTATCGTTTCAAACAGTAAAGCGTCATCTACTAGGCTATTGGACTATTTCTGCTTCCTAATGTGCATGTCTCGTTGATCGCTTATGTTGAAGAGGAATGCTCAGTCTCTATCGACATGTTACCTTTTAGTATGGACGCTTCGATGATGTCTGAAGGTGAACGAACATGATGACTTTGGAATCCACATCGACAACAACTTAAAACAACACATGATGTTAGGCTTCACACACACCATCGAAGCATCATTAGCAGGAACCTACAAGCCTATCAGAGACTGAGCATTTCAGCTTAAGATAATCCAATTAATGGGGAAGACAAATTATATGTTATTATTATTATTATTACTATTCCCTTGGGTTTCAGGTAGAACGAACATAAGGCTGGCTGGCTGGCTGGCTTCAACAGCACATATCCACTTTGTTTCATATCCTGCTGTCCTCTTCTGCTGGCCATAAAGATTGACCATAATCTGTCATCTCCTCATCGCAAAATCCCTTGCATATCATCCTAGGACCCAAATTAAACCCGTCGTTTCCCATTCGGACTCAACTCGAGTGATGGCCTGCCGTGCGATGTCATTCAACAGTCCTCCCGAGCGTGTGCCCAGTCCATCTCTTCAACCAGATTGAAGTGATCTAAGCAACAGGCCGCTGTTGCAGTCATTTGGAGCCGCCAAGCTTACAATACACAACAAAAATCAAACTTACATAATCATGAAAGAGAAAAATCAAACACTTAATTTTGTTTTTTTGCATTTGGAGTTCATTTGAGTACTTACTTGAAAGTATTTCATTGATCCTTTAGCATGATAAACATCGAATAATCGTGGGACTTGTATCAACCAACGTACATTATCTGAATACACTTTACAATCAATAGCCCATTTAGCTAAATTATCCCATTCATTAATCGATCTACCATAGATGGATAGACGTGGTTCAGCATTTTGATACTTCGATTCAGATAGATCTGAGAAAACTTCCTGTACATTTTTGGGAAAAAAAGAAATAACAAAATAGGAATCATTATCAAATAAAATTATTATGATTGTGATCATTATTACTTTACATGAAATAGGGGGGGGGGTAACAGTGTGGCGGTCTCTACTGATAAGATTTATCAGTAGTATATTATAAAGAGACGTTAATCTGCCGAAAAAACATCAAAAAACAGGGAGATACATCTGATTTCAGAGAAGGCAAATAATACACTGTCGTGTAGATACATGGGAGACGTGAAAGGAACATAAAGAAACACAATATGAAGGAAGTCCAGATGTAGCACAACATGAAGATCTGTGCAAGTGGTGTGTTGAAGATAAGGTGTATATATAATTTGGTTACATAGAGATAAAAATTTCTAAATAACTTTTCCTTTATCAAATCTTCGTCTTTAACCGTTTCAACATGAATACTTTCATAACAGAAATTAAACAGAACTACTTGTCTCACTCATGAATGGAAAATATGCCTACGGCGTTTATACATACGGTTAGTCATTGGGGGCATGAATTTTGGTTGTCCCACGAACTCAATTGACGGATGGTGTGGGGGCGAAGTTTGACTTTAGACACCTGAGAGACGTGGATGCACCCTAATCTATCCCTAATAGACAAAAGCGCTATATCTTCCTTAAAGGTGAAATTCAAACACTCCCTAGCCGTATACTTAATCCAACACTTTTATTCATGAATATGGTTATATTATTTACTTGGTTTCACTACCTTGTCCTGACTAGATGTTCAAAGGTTATTGGTGCGTTCGCGCTTGCTGGCTGACTGAAGTTTGACTTTTCCAAATGAGATGTGTGCGCATAAAGTGATTTTGTTGTTCCATACTTACATTAGTAAAACAAGAAGTACAAAAATGAAATGTTATTTGTCAACTGAACCATGAGGAAGACTAAGTGTCTTCCTCTGATTTGTCAGAAATCGATTTTCAAGAGGAGGTTTTTTAGAGCTTTTCTTCGACTGCTTGGAGGTTTTCATCATGAGCTGACATCAGTTAGAGAACCGTTGGAAAACCTGCAGGGAGTACTGAACAGTTGTTTCGTCCTACTTTGGGGCTCTTCATCATTACGCACCCACCGACAGAATTCAAAACCAGGACCCTCTGATTAGAAGTTGAGCTAGCTCGTAGACCATTAAGCCATTGGGACCCGATCCAAAGACTAGCCCATGAATTCTAACTTCTGCTAATTCATGACATAGCGGGAACACTTCGCAACATCTTCTTCGATGAGTTACTGTCTCACCCTCAACCTGCTGTAGCCTACTGGTCACGGCTTCGCACTAGAACCCCAGGTAACCTAACTAAATAAGGCCAGCCGGTAGTGAGCATCAGATAAATTTTCAAGTATTGCATTTTGTAGGAATTTTTTGATCGGTTGAAGGATTTCATCATGAGCTGAAGGTCCATTGGAAAACCTGAGAATACTGAACAGTCAGCCGCCTCATCCCAGTTGGGAACTCTTCATCACTCAGCATCCACCAGCATTCGAACCCAGGACCCAACTAACTATGCTACCGAATTTACATTTCTAAGAATTAAAAACGAGTATTTGAGAAAGATAAGTACCCATTAATAGTGCTTCGAAGTACATAAATCAACTTGGATTTTCTTGTGGACGTTAACATCGAAGTCATACAAAGAAGCATTTGTCTATTATCATGAGTCAGTATTTAACGAAATACTCATGGTATATACTGAACCAATGTTCCACTAAGCTTTACAGAGAAACACCACATATGAATGCACACACATACTGTCAAGACATTTACTATCTCTAGCACATAAGTGTAAATGATCAATTGCACGGGCGTTGAGGAACGCTGCTTGTATCATATTCCATTCTTTTTAATTCGACAATAATATTTCCTAAAGCATATAGTAGGTACATGTACTCTTTGTTCTTATTTATCTATTCTCCATTTCCTCATTATCTTCTTCGTACACCTCCGCTTGCATACCTTACTTCTTATGCTGCTTGGTTACACGAGAATAAGTAGAATATACTGGTTGATGCAACTTAATGTGACAACCTAGAATCAGCCGACTCCGTTTCTCACATAGAACTTTGCACAGAAATGCTCCTGTTCAAGTTGGCGCCCAGTTAAAGCACAACGGCCTTAGAGTGAGAACGCTCAAGTGACCTTGAACGCAAACTATTCATTTGAATATTGACACCTACTGTTATTATAGTGACACTATGAACGCTGTGCACGAAGAGAGGTGCAAATTTCATTAAGATCTCGTTTTTTAATTACTGTCTGGACAATGTGTTAATAGCTCGTAAAGGTGTCCGATCACGATTAAGGTTGGGATCATGGGTTATAATTACGATTAGGATTAAGTTTGGGATTGGTATTAATTATTTCTATTATCTGCATTTTCTTAGTAAATAGTCGTCGATCCCCTTACTGGGGAAGACTGGAAAACATGATGGGTGTGATAAATGGGTCACAAATAGAACTCGTCCTCAGTCACCTTGGTGAATACTTGCACTGATACTGGTCTAACATAAACCCTGATACTCCTCACCATAATTTGGAGGTATTTTTAAGTCATATTAGGAAAAAATATCCTGTCTTTATGCATTTCTCTTGTAAATAAACGTTATTTATCTGCAAAAACCGATGTATTTGGTGATTGGTCGGCTCAAGGTCACCCGTGCATTTGCATTCTGATAGGAACCAGCCCAAAACTGTATATTATCTTTTCTCACGAATCTTAAGATGGAGGTACTATGATAATCTATCATTTCTGACGCATATTGTGATTTATTGTGTGATCAATTCATCATCCTTTGTCTTGCCTTGGTGTTTGCGGATCGTCAACCAATCATGATAGACATTTCCAGCCAATAAGATAAGTCCACTCCCACAGTTGCAAGCCGACTTTATTATGGCAAAGAAAATGCAGAAATATGACGTTTTGTCTCCTAAATTACACAACATCTTTTAGTCACAGGACAGTTTTCGTCTTTTGATATTTGCGTGGCTCAGTGAATTGGAAGGTACAACAGACACATAGGCATATTAGCGTACCAGTCCAGTTCATTACCGTTATAACAATTAGCAGGAGCAGACATAACAAATTGGCGATGGGTTTATTCAATTCAGTGCAATTATCACACATTCCATGGATTGTAATACTTTATTCGTGCTCAACTCGCCACACTCCATACAGAAGACAAAAAAGTTGAGACAAGAACTTTAAAGGAATTATGACGAATGGATGCTGATGTGAGAATCATGCGGATTCAATAGATCTCGGAGGCTACACAGCTTAAATGCACCAGCGCCACTGATAACGACTTTGCGCCACATCAACAACGTTCCTGAGGCATGGATTCTTAACATCTTAATAACCCCAGGATGGAAGTCTATACCACCACCACCCTCCACACATACCTAAGTGTCTGCCCCAAACTACAACATTAAAAAAACTTTATGAATTGATATCAGGAGTGGAATGCATCATAAATCAAGTAAAACACAAGGATAAAGAAGCGAGAGACGCATACCAACCTTTAAAACATGTGCAAAGAATACGCCTTTGATATAATTATCCGATTTTAAGAATACTTCACGTAGTTGACTTTGACCAATCGGATTATACTTGGCATTGAATTTATCGAATCGATGAAACGTATTACGATCCTATATGGTGAATAAAAGAGACAGCGAGAGAGAGAGAGAAAATGATCAAAGCCGAACTACACAGCAAAAACACAACACACTATACCACAGCATAAAAAAGGTAAACAAAAGACCAGTGACATTTATTTCATTATTTATGATGACATTTGTTCAAGTGATTAATTAGGCTTCTTGGAAAATCTAATGGTTCGCATTTATCGATGCTTTCCACTATAGAAGAACAGTTGAATTCCGAATTTCACTTTTCAGATATGATGCTAGATAGAAGAGAGGATGGTGTGTTAAAAAAAGGTCGATTTATCGAAAGGCAATATATACAGGGCAGTAGACTAACTCCAACAGTTAGGTACCTCTACGTAGGAAGAGAAATCTTATTCGTTCTCTATTCTCCAGAATTTGAGAAATCTGCTCCATAGATGTGGTCGATGTAGACGTAGAAAGCCTTCATATAACTCTCTTAAATAATGGATATCCTGAATGGTATATTAATAGAAATGTTAAGAAAGAAGCTGTATGAAGCCAAAACAAAGTGCCGAAGAAGACACTTTTTATGAGTATGGCGTCCAAAGGTGATACTATTGTTGAAGTCATTAAGAGTCATTTATCTAAATGTATTAAATGCACACAGCCACTGAACTACTGAACTACTTTTAGTCGCGTTAGCAGTACACCAGCAAAGTGATTAGATTAATATATGTGTAAAACTTGGGCACTGTGGTGGTAGTAAGTAATTCAATATTAGTTTGTTTATTAGATATATCACACACAGTGATGAAACAGTATTATTTACTGGATGACAATGTTTCGAACACAATTTATTGTTCATAATCATGTCATCAATTATAATCACACGGCTTCAAAACTTGAGTTTTATAGTTTTCTTTGTTCTCTCCTATTTCTTGTCGTTAGGGTAGTGGAATTTTCCAGGTGTTGAATCATTCCTATTACACGTGTTTGAAGCCGATTCGATAAACAAAGCTTCTGTTATCAATCTCTCCCTCCACCCTGTGACATCAGATTTTGAAACTGTCACCGTATCCCATCATTTCTATTGTATGGATGTGTTGTTAATGACGACATGCATGTCAAACATGCGCAAGATAATGACGACACCAACAATAAAGAATCTAAATCATCAGTAGTTATTCCATACAAGGAAGGAACCTCGGAAGCCTTACGCAAAATTCTCAACAAGGCAGGAATCAAAGTGGCATTCAAACCACCCACAAGCTCAATTAGAAACAAGCTTTGTCAGTTAAAGCAACAATCCTGTGGAGCCTTTAAAACAAAACAATTTAGTTTACCTAATACTCTGCCTGCAATGATTGTCAGGTCAAATACATAGGTCAAAGTAGTAGAACAGGGGCAGTCAGACTAGCTGAACATAAAAACTTATCAAAATCTAGATTAGTTGACACGAATAAGATAAGAAATCTAGAGAATAGTTTACCTATAGCACTACATGCCATCACACACAACCGTACAATAGGGTGGATGAGATAAGATGACAGTTTTAAAATCTAATGTCACACGGTGGGGGGAGAGATTGATAACAGAAGCTTTGTTTATCGAATCAACTGAGAGAGAATACGTGTATTAGGAATGATTCAACACCTGTCCACCCAGATATCTGGAAAATTCTACTACCCCTACGATGACAAATATGAAACGGAAGTTTCGAAGTCGTGTGATTACAGTTGATATGATTATGAACACTAAATTTTATTCGAAACTGTGTCATCCAGTAAATAATACTGTTTCACTGTGTGATACACCTAATAAACAAACTAATATGGAATTACTTACTACCACCACAGTGCCCAAGTTTTACACATGTATTAATAGTAGAACTGACTGACTTGACATTAGTGTTGAAAATCCGATTCTTGTTTCTCAGACTGAGTGCGACAGATATTTCCAGTCAACTAATTTCAGATTAATGAAGGTTTGTCTTGCTTTTTAGATCCTACCTTTGACATCCTCACCCACCCATGTCACCTACCTGCAGTTGAAACGATGCTCCCTAAATAAGAGTGAAAGAATTAACCTCTCGCGAATTTCTCCCGTTGATGCGGATAAAACCTACAGTATCTTTAAAATTTGAAACTCTGTGAGACTCACTGGTAACATGCCAGCAACTCTACTACACTGAGCTAACGTAGTCATGACAAACAGCCTACAGAATCTGATTACTGTCGCGACAGCAGGGTGTTACCAATGTAACTGCCAAAGTCAACATGTTTATCAAAATGTATCAGTGAGTGTCTTCTGCAACAGAAAAAAGCTATTACTAGTGAAATAATTTGTACTTAGAAATGCTCTTTTTTCGATTAATATTTATTTTTGAAAAAATATGATTACGAGTTATGCATATGAACGACGAGACGGCATGAGATAACATCTGTTACAGTCTAGTCAGACAACACACACACACAAAATGGTATGAGTGATATTATTTTTTTTAATAATAAAAAACCCACTACAGAATATAGATTCCGTTACTAAAGCAGAAACGTTTGTGTAATAAAATTTATCGCTAAGACGATTCTATGTACCGATTTTAAATGAAAAATGGTACACTCTGCTCACAATGAGTTGAATTACACACACTTATTACAAATAACTGATAACCATTTGGAGCCACTGAATCGAATCCTACAGTTCGAGTCATGATGAACAGAGAGATGCTTAGCTAATACAACTATCCTTTATCCTAAAGTGACACGTCAACCCTTCATTTTCCTCAACCCAGTAATAGGAAGTGAAATGGTTGAGCATGTTGATCACTAAACTTATTCGGGGAGTTGCATCTACCAACGCCAGCAGATTGATCGTTGGTCCGATTATCGACCAAAGGACGTGTGTACTGCTTTGTGTCAGTTCGCTCCGTCCTGCTTTATGAGTGTGAGACCTGACCATTGAAAGTGGAAGATATGAAGATATGCGTTCTTTCGCCCGTGTGAAGTAGGACAATAAAGTGAGGAATATTAAGGTTAGGTTACACTCGAGTACTAGGTAACGAAGGGGAATCAATTGACGAGGTTGTAAAAGCACATCGATTGAGATGGTTAGGACATATGTTGCGAATGCACACCAAGCCATCACCTTCCTCGACAATGGGCAATGTTAGCTGACTTAAGATAGATCAGGTTGGAAAAGAGCTAGTGGTGGTCAAACCAAAACCAACATGGCCTCATCAGCCAATGAAATGCACAACAGTTAGTTTAAGCCAGCCAACCACATAGGGAGGTGTAGGGTTAACTTCTAGACTGGTCGGGGTCCTCTGGATGGTAAGAACCAATATAGGCTGGAGACACAAGATCGTTCTCAATGGCTGGCACAGATGCATCCACTCCTTGCAACCTGCAATATCCAATAAAACTAGATTGTTCTTCGATATTACTATCCTTTTCGCCTCATATCTCTGTTTACTGTCTCTATTTTTCATTTCTTTTTACTTTCTTCTCTTGCTTTGTGTGCTAAATGAAGTGCGGCGACTGGAACTGCTGCACATAGGTGAAAGGTTCTACATTGAAACCAGTCAGTCAGTTTCAAACCAGTCACATAGAAAGAAAACAGTGAACGATATGAGAGTCTCTAGGATGACATTTGTATTATATGTTTAACCCACTGAAGCTGATATTTCAAGACGGTAACTACCTCCAACATGTTCAAGCACACGTCGCAAGACTTCAGAATTACTTCCAAGGAGGTAGCTATGATCACATCCCTCACATCCCAAACTCGGAGGGACTGAGTTTCACAGGTGATGAGCAAAGCCGGAGAATTGCAAACATAACACTTTTGACGGCCAGGCTAAGATCATGACTGTGCCACAGGTGGCTTTAGTGGCTGTACACTGGTTTAAACTCCTACAAATCTTGGAACACTATACTTTGCACTATGACAGAGCAAGGCACATAACATACTTACAGACACAAATCATGGGATAAGTATACTATGGAATATTACTGTGGTGAGAGCTGTGGCTGCGAACAAGCCAAAATTGTAGACAACAATTTACGTCAATGTTCACATGAGAAAAACAACAACAACAAAGCTTAACCTTGAGAAAATCACCAGCCAATCACAGCGGAGTTAACGTGTGGAAATATGATTCGCAGATACATGGCTTGATTTTCTGAGAAACGGCCACCTTCAACAAGAAAACAACCAATCAGAAGAGGTTGCTTCTCCGCTAACAATAACGCTAATAATAATGCCCATAAAAATCTATAAATGCCTCTTGATTTTCTCGATAAACTATCTGTTGCCTGGCTCTTGTCTTTCGTCATTACACTACTACTCATGTATCTACCTACGATTTTCATCACTCAGTCTAAAATCACATTAAACACTAGAGGACAAATTCGCTAGTTCACATTTGATCGAAAAACTGATCATTCAAATGGAAATGACACTGAATTAGTATCAACGTTTTGAAACTCAAATAATGGTAGAATGCCAGGCTGATAACCTGACGACATTTGATCTTAAAACGAATAAGGTTGCCGGTTAATCCACTACAAAACTAAAGCTATCGTAGGCAGTTTGACTAGTAATCTCGTCAATGCTTAACTTTCCAAGATAAACAGATATCCCACAATTCCCACTTCTAGCTATCTGACTGACTGGGCTTTTAGAATAAACCTTTGCAGAGACGTGTAGCAGTTCAAGAGTGAGGGTAAAAGGAGATTCATAGGGACTATATTAAGCAAAGAGTGCGTCGGTGGCATAGTGGTTAGGACGCTCGCCGACCATGCACATGGTTCGGGGTTCGATCCCCGGCCACCGACGCACTCCTTTACCTCTCTAAGCCAGAAATAATGCTGGTGAAGAAGAAAGATTGGGCATGAGGCTAGCAACCCCATCCTGTAAAAATACACACCGCTACAGAAACTTCAAGCCTCTAGCTTGAAGCCCTATGTACCACTGTGAACGTGAAAGAATAAAAAAAAGAAATAATAAGCAAAAATTTGCGAGAGGTAAAAATAATTACAGAAAAAACAACAGGAGAGTTTAAATAAATATAGGAGAACGCAACGAGTGAACGCATCTGTACTACTGAAAACGATTTTAAGTAATATCGTCAATAGTCTCCATTAACTAGTCCTCAGCATCCTGAGGAACCTAACCAAGCAGTTTACATCTCTCTAGTTGGTGGACTGCCAAAGACTTTATGGACCGATGCCAGATTAAGATTCAACAACCACCACCATCACCACCCCTAACTCTTTTCTAAATTAATCCTACGTGAGCTAACATACTTGAACAGTGAAGACGGTGGCTTGAAATGCACATCACGTGCCCTAACTTCACAATGTTATCAATTGACTTAAAGCGAGCTACTGCATCCTCCGCAGGCTGCAAAATCAACACCCCCCTACTTATTCCGCTTTTACTTAGCTAATGAATCGCTTCGTCTTCAAGGAGTTCATTTCCAATTTATTTATTTAAACAAAAGAAAAACCTTGTTACAATACAGCACCAAGATGCGCCACACAATAATAATAAAACAACATAGGTTTAAAGTAAAGATATGGTGGAGAACGGATAAAGAACTTCATCTGGAATGAAAACAGTCATACTTAACAAATTCAAACAGTATTCGCCAACTATCGTCAGGAAGGGAAGAAAGAAGGAAATTGCAGCATGTTCACCATTGATGATTGTGATTCTTGGCCATATCCGATAATGTTTCGAGCCATCGATTTTAGCAGTCTCTCGGACTCCAACCAGGGAGTCGTGACGCAACAACCGATGTTAACCTTACACAAATATCCTTCATCCCACTATGTCACCTCTCTGTTTTTTCTATCCCGTCCCAGGGCTACCGAACAGGCACCGGTACGGAAGCCTCTGGGATGACATTCACAGGACATGTCCAAGCCAACGAAGCCGGTGTTTTCAGATGACGACATTCAACGAATGGTGATCTCCACTGTGTTCAAACACATGCCGCGGGACCTCAGAGCTACTCACGCGGTAATGCCATCGTAAGCAAACAATTCTGCGGATACAGTGATGATCAAATACGCAGAGCCATCGAACATCCTCAGCTCGGAGAGGACAGGTTTCACAGGCATAGAGCAAGACAGCCCACACCGAAACATTGTACATTCGACCTTTGACAGTCAGGCTAACGTCACGACGGCGCCAGAGGGGGCTCAAGTTAATGTGTGTCACTTTAGCTCTCATGATACGGTTGGAAATCTTATCCGTCATCCCTCCGCCAGGATTCACACAACTACCTAGATACACAAACATATCAACAACTTCAAACAGTTCACTCACGAGAGTAAGTACAGGCTCCTAACAATCTTATAACAGTACATTGCACTTAGACGGCGCAAAGCACATACCATACACTTACAGATACTGATCGCCAACTAATTACATGAGATTTGTACAGTCTGCCTGCTATCGCACATTAAGACAATATCGTCTGCATACTCCAGGTCGAAAAGTCTCCCTCTCCAGGGAGGAGATCTACACCACCTTCACACATGTCCTTCAGAGCTGACTCCAAAATGTTACCGACAGCAAAGTTAAAGAGAAATGGAGAGATCCGGCAACCTTGTTTAACCCCATTGTTGGTTGGGTACAGTGATGATATTTGGTTATATGCTCTCACTCTATCTGAGATGTTTCTGTATAAAGCTTTCAGGATGTTCACAAATTTCTCAGGTATACCCCTCTCTAACAGACAGTTCCAGAACACAGTTCTATCGAAAAAAATCGAACAAGCCGTCCAAACTTTACTCTTGTTCAAAAAAAATAACAAACAAACTCAATATCAATGTTTCATAGCAAGCGAAATAAATTCCTAATTTTTAAACACGATAAATTAATCACTTAAAGTTGTCAGCCTGTAGACAAGAGTCAAAAATAACTTCATCTGACCTAATATGAGAGAATAAACATTTCTTTTTTTTAAAAAACGAAAACATGTGAAGAGGATGTGGAGGGTGAGGGTGACAGTATGTTGACAACAGAACGAACACATTAGTGTTTATTCAATAATAATGATAACAATAATGCTTATTGTTTTGTAAACATACAAAAGGTTATCTTAAATAACCTTAACATCATGCACAAGTATAAACACAAAGAACATTAATCTCATTTTATCTGGCTATAGAATGAATAAATAACAAATTATATAAACATATGCTGTCCAGCTGACACTTCTTATATCATATATGTCATCCGTTATAATTAAATTTGATGAATAAAGCAGAGACAGAGGTTATACATACATACATAAATATTTTCAAGAGTTGGCTTATAAGAATTAAATTTGTTTTTACCAGTTTGACAACGGATTGATTGATAACAGTTAGAGAACCATTGAAAACCAGCCTAGTTTGAAACTCATGGGGCAGTACGCACCCGCCACTGGGGTTCGAACCCAGGACTTTCCACTTCCAAGGCAAGCTAGCGGGTAAATCATTCAGCCACTGAGACCCAATTTATTGGATAACCCATGAATTCTAACTTATTATTATTATTGTATCCTTTAATTCCTAGAGGAACATAGGGCTTCAGCCGTGCGTCTCCAATGCGTTCGCTTCTCTGCTAGAGCCTTCACCTGGCTCCAAGTCTGCCCACACGTTTTCATCTCCTCTTCACATGACTTCCTCCAAGTCACCCACCCTCGCACTGACGACCAACTCGCCGCTTCCCTTTCGGGTTCCACTCGAGCAATGGCTTGTCTAGTCATGTCACTTCATGGTTTCCTCAGAGTATGACCAGCCAATCCATCCTCATTTCTTCCTGCATATATGTTTCACAATCGGTTCCTGCTGAGTTGGTTCACTTATTGCCAGAGATCCCTCTCTGTTGCTGATCTTTTCTGGCCGGCCATCTGATCTTGAGTATTGAGTGAAGACAGCTGTCGATGAAGGTCTGTGGTTTGTTTGAGATGCTCTTTATGACGCGCAGTGCAAGTCTCTGATCCATATAGTGAGTAGCACTGACTGACTTCACATTGGAGTTGAAAATCCGGATCTTATCTTCGTTTTGATTCTGAGTGCTGTTGACCTCCACACAGACTTGAGAGAAGTGAAAGCTTGTCTTGCTTTTCCGATTCTCGCTTTGATATCCTTGTCAGTTCCGTCCGCCTGTAGTTGAAACGATGCTTCCAAGGTAGGTAAAACAGGCTATTTCTTTCAGGTTCCTCCCATTTATTCTGATTGTTGTCTGCTGTCGTTGTTGTTGCTGTTGATGATGTTGCCCAGGAATCTTCATCACCTCTGTTTTATCTATTTTCACCTGAAGTCCTATCTTTGATTCTAACTTCTACTAACTGGTGATCCAGTGCGACGGACATCGGTGTGAAATCCATCCTCACACTGATATCAATCTGTAGTCAAACTCGTAAAAACAAATTTAATCCTTACAAACCAACTATAGAAAATTAATCCGATGCTCGCCAGTGCCTTGCTACAGGACGGAGTTTCCTGGATTTCTAGTGAGAAGTCGTGATCAGTGAGGTCCAACTAGTCAAGTGTGAGGATGAATGTTCCACCGATGACATTGGTTGGTGTTCTCCATAAAACACGAATTCCTGGAGATTTGAATTTTTGGCCTGAACGTTATATATGTATATATATATATATATATATATATATATATAACGTGGTAACACTATGAGTCTTTCTAATGACTCGATACAATGACTGATGTAAAACTCCACTGGCTACGTCTTTAATGAGCTGGAGCTTTATGAAGAACTGTTGTTTTTTTTCTCAAAAATAATTGGTTTTTTTTTCAAATTGTAGAAAATACCCATCAAGATATTGGACAATAAAGAACAAGAAGTTCAACAGAGATAACCATCATTTCGGCGATTTCATTCTCAAAAACAGCTGTACAATCGCATTTATGTACATAACTTTACATAGATACAATTGTTCCTATCTAATTTTACATAATAACGAAGGAGATTTATTTATTTTTTATTATAGCTTGATTCCACACCATATTATTGGTAAAAGTATGGAATTCTCAGCATGTGACGTCGGTAGCCCAAATTTTGCAGGCCGACCAATTCATATCAAGTGTGCGTCGGTAGGGGATCGAACCCCAGACCATGTGCATGGTCGGCGAGAGTCCTAATCCCTGTGTCACCGACGCACGCTTTGCTTCTAAGCAATGTGACCGACAAACTTCCACATATGACCACTTCAGTGTACATATATCGATTCATCTGCTCGTGCGGAGCCAGGTGCATACATAGTTCTATGCAGGTTCTATCAAAACCTGTTAGAGAACATTAACCAGTGTGGCTGCAAACAGGAGGTATTGATTCATATAAGTATAAAAATTGGGCACTGTAGTAGAGTGTAACTCCATTATGGATAAGATTTTATTTTGATAAATCACATAGTGTTGTACAGTAATATTAACTGATGACCAAGTTTCGAGCACAAACTATTGCTCATAATCACATCACGAGTTTGATAACAGACTGATATCAGTTAGAGAACCATTGAAAACCAACCAGGGAGTACGGGGACAGCCAACTGTTTCGTCCAGGTATTCGGGACTCGTTGATAATGTGTACCCACCCACAGCTAGGGTTCAAACTCAGGACCTTCCCGTTACAAGGCAAGTTTTTTAAGATCATTTAGCCACTGGGATCTAACTCAACGGCTTGCTCACGAATTATAGCTTCTACCAATTCATGCTTTTAGCGAGACAGGCGTAAGCCAATTTGATCGTTGGCGAGTTATTTGTTATCACTCCCAACCGAATAACTTTCAATTGTCCTTGAATTGATATCAACCCGGGGTGAAACTTGAGACAAATCATTTATAATTGCTTATTTGTTACTAAGTGAGAAAAACAATAAGGTTGAACACTAACACAGACATACACACACATTTAGAGAGACAATAAATAGTAACAGTGAACTTACAGCATGAACGTCCAAGTTATCAATATTCAAATCGTATAGAGTAATTCCAATTTTGTCTATTAGCTTAACAATGAGGAGGAAAAAAACAGACATAAAGTAGGAGAAGAAGAACACACGCACAATAAGGAAATTCAATTAGAATTGGGAATAAATAAATAAAAACAAATCGATTGTTTATTTTTATTCAATCAGTAAAACTGTAAATTTTCAAGTGTTACTCTGTAGGGATTTGATTTGTTGTTTAAAGTTTGACCATAGAATGAGTACTGTACAACTATAAAGTTTGTAATTTGAACTCTTCATCAATACACATCCACACCCTACCAGGGATTGAACCCAGCGACTTCAAGTTACAAGGCGAGCTCATTGACTATAAAGCCATTGGAATGTCTGTCTGTCTGGATTCAACGTAGAACTTGGCACTGAAGTGCACCAGTTCGAGTTGCCACGTTCCAAATAGCACAAAAAAGTAGACGAGAAAATGAGTGAAGGGAATCAATAGAGTTTTGACAAGTATAAGAGTGAAACAGAATGAGTAATGGTAGAAAAGAATATGAGACTGAAGATTACAGAGACTGAATACATCTGCGTAAGCCACTGACAACGATTTTGAGCCATTTCACCTAATGTCTCAAGCCATTGATTCTTAGAGTCCCGAGGCCGGGCCCCAACCCGGAAGTCTGTATCTCCCTACCTGACTCAGTTTAACTGTCAAGGATTTCATGGATTTTATAAAATTATATTTGTAAAATCTCAGCGAAATTGAAATGGTTAATTCCAACGTTTCGTTCGGCAATCTGGTCCGATTTCATGGATTGATTGATGCCATTCATGTTTTTGTTTGGCCACCACTTACTCTTTTCCAACCTGCACCTATATCAGCTAGTGATGCCCGTCGGGGGAGACGATGGTTAGGCATGCGCAGCACGTGACCTAGCCACCTCAATCTATGTAACTTTATAGCCTCTTCGAGTGATTTTCCCTCTTTGCCCAACACTCTACGCCTGACGTCAACATTACTTACCTTATTATACCACCTAACGTGAGAAAGAGATCGTTGACATAACCATTGGAATAGAATCAAATGGCTTATCCAATCAAAATTGAACACGTCACCACTAGCCGATGTGATCATCATCAGTGAGTATCTGTCCTCACACCCAACCGGGTGGACACCACTGGTCACCACTTCTTACTAGGACGCCAGGCAACTTTGTCCTGCATGCAACTAGTCACTTGGTCATTGAAACAAGGGAGACATGAAAAACGCCGGCTACTTGTCTTTGATCATAAATGTCTGCGTTCTATCCGCCCCCGGTGTTAAATGGTATAATATTTATTGATTTAAGTATAAAACTTGGGCACTGTGATGATAGAGTATAACTCCATCATAGATAGGATTTTATTTTGATAAGATCACACAGTGGTGTTATACAGTAATATTAACTGATGACCACGTTTCGAGCACAAACTATTGCTTATGATCATATCAATATGACATGATCTTTTCATATCTTATCTACAGTAGTATAATATTTTTATTCCTATACGTATAGGGCTTCAAGCTAGATGCTTGAAGTTTCAGTAGCAGTGGTGTTTATTTTTACGGGATGGGGTTGCTAGCCAGCTTCATGCCCAACCTTCTTTCTTTACCAGTCTTATTACTGGACTAGCTAGGTAAAAGAGTGCGTCAGCAGGTCGGAGATCGAACCCCGAACCACATGAGGCGACGTTGGCTAGTATTCTACCGCTGTGCCACCGAAGCACAGTGATAGGATAGGGTGAGTAAAAATAAAGAGGTTAGGTATCGGTCGAGTGCTAGGTTAGGAACGAAAATCAATCGATGTGATTGTGAAGCAACTGCATCGATTGAGATGGTTAGGACATGTGTTACGCATACACACGAAGCCATCTCCTTCCTCGACAATCGGCAATGTTACATGACATACGGTGGATCAGGTTGGAAAAGAGCTAGTGGTGGTCAAACCAAAACACGGCTTAATCAATCAATGAAATTCATAACAGTTAGTTTAAACTTTGTGGCAAATGGAACTGCAGCACTTCTATGCAAAGTTCTGTGTTGAAACAAGTCAGTCAGTAAGTAAGTCTATATCATGGATAGTCTCAATGGAGATTTCATCACGAAGCAGCATCATCAGTTCGAAGAATCATTGAAAACCAGGAAGCACATTGGACATCTCTTTCGTCCTAGCTAAGGTGGAGGGGGTGGGGCAGACCTATGACTTCACTAGGGATCAAAATCAGAACTGTTAGGTTACCAGATCGAACTTTTTGACTATTGAGCCAGTTGAGTCAGTAGTCAATGACTCTTGAATCCTAAACATCTCGTCGATTAGAGTTACCATCTATTGAGGTCTTCAACAAGCTCCCAATTCACATTCGGGGCATGATAGTAACCATGATTCATCCAATAATAACGAAGTGGCTGGAGATTGATATTCACATTATATAAGGGTTTATGGAACTTTCCTAACTGTATAACTTTTTATGATTGCTTGTTTCTTTTTTACTTGCAAATATTGATAAATGCACTTTTAAACATTTTCTATTCTTTATTTTGCAGAAGAAAAACAAGAAAAAACACAAGAAAGAAACAAAAATCAAAACTCCCCCCGCCCTATTTATTGGTTTAGATTTCTTTATCAAAGGTCAAAAGTACTAATGTGTATTTGGTTAATCACATGGGCGTTTCTCATGCTACATTTATTATTATTATTACTACTATTATAAATCTCTCTCTCTTTTCAAGGGAAATAATACAGTCTTTTTGAATACAACTCATCTTGCGTGTATATACTGTACTTCTTTGTTTTATTAACTTAGGATTGAAAGAACTTTATCAAATGATTTATACAGAATTTATTTATTATATTATAATATTAGTCCCTTGGGTTCTAAGTGGGATATAGTTGATGTGAGTAAAAGGAGAATGATGCTCAGCATGACTTCGTGTGCTTCTGGAAAAGTGTATGTGTGGTTGTTACTTCCCAGCTGGAAGTTGCTTGATTCCTCGGGTACCTGAATTAGAAAGAGGGCTAGTGTTGCGTGACCACGGAGTCCCGGGGACAACTGCTTGACGCCGGTCACACACTGCCTGTAAAATGATGTTACAGGACTGGACTACACTGACTCCTAGCTTAGAAATAGGCAGTGATGTGGTAGAGCGTGTTGGCCACTTCACTTATTTGGGAAGTTGCATCAGCCAACGATATCACGTTCATCGCTAACAAAACCTCAGCACGAATACAGAAGGAAAGTTTCGCGTATGCCAATTTACGCCACCACTAGCGTAGACGTGATATCCGGCTGGCTGTTGACCAAAGGACATGTGTACTGCTCAGCATCAGTTCGCTCCGTCCTGCTTTATGGCTATGATACCTGACCATTGAAAGTGAAAGATATGAAAAGCCTGACTAGCTGTCTTTGGTCTTAGGTGTCTGCGTTCAATCTCCCGTGTGAAGTGGTACAACAAGGTAAGCAATATTGAGGTCAGGCTTCTGTCGAGTGCTAGGTAAGGAGGGGGAAACCAATCGATGAGGTTGTGAAGCAGTTGCATCGGTTGAGATGGTTAGGATGTGTATTACACATGCATGCCTCCCTCGACAACAGGCGATGTTAGCTGACATAAGGTTAGGCTGCAAAAGAGCCAGTGGTAGTGAAATCAAAACATGACTTCATCAGTCAATGAAATCCGCAACATTTAGTTTAAGTCAGCCAGCCACGTAGGCAGGTGTAGACTTCCAGACTGGTTGGGGTCCTCGGGTTGGTAAAACAACACTGGCTCTTGCAGAACCATTAAAGCCGCTATTGTTTCTTATATATATATATATATCCATTTATAATTCTTCTGTTTTTCCCTAAGTTTGTATGCTGCACTTTTGTGAAATGTTGTATGTTGAAACAGTCACTCAGTCAATATATTTCAACTATCGTGTTACGATATCGTCTTGACTGTTTTGTATACTTTAACATTACTTTATACATTGACAGATTATTGCTTGTAAAGTTTATAATCACTACTGCACAGTAGTGGTTTTATCCTTTTTTATAATAGGTATTCAATGAAAGCTGTAAGGCACAGGAGACATCAACACACTAAGATGTCAATACAGTGAAAGTATTCACTCAAACATCTAGAAAAAAAAGGAAAAAACATTGAGCAAAGAATATCCTTTCCGATGATTTCCTCTTCTGGCTCTACAATTATGTATTCTAGAATAGTCGTCATTGACAATATCAATGTGCTTTTAAATACTATCCATTTGTTAAGTAAGATCACAATGGAACTATAGACAGTTCACGAAAGGTGCATAAATTATAATAAGAAGCATAAAAATGTAATAGCAAATAGAATATCTAATAAAATTAAGGAAATTTCCACAACTAATTGAGGATCATTAGAACTCAGAATGCCGAGGTAAGGACAGTGTCTGAACCAGTTTCTTCTTTTGAATACATAAGTTAGGTTTCTTAATGTAGATTCCAATAGCATCACCAATATGTAGTAGATGACTTCTTGAGGTAAAATTAAGAATCGTCAGTATGCGGTAGAGGACTCTGAAAGCCGCCTCGTTAACATCAATCTTTTGTTCTGAATCCACAAGATGAGATAGTATAGAACTATGAATGGACTTTGTTTGTCCCTTACTTAACCACTATGCAGGACTGGTGTTCGGAAACCCGATGATTAACACGCCTAATTGTACGGCCTATGTGACTAACCGGCTCCCAATGAGAGCAGTCAGACTGATACATACACATAGAAGAGGAGAAATTAAGTAGTTAGTTTGTCTTTAGCTCCCAAACGTAAAATACGAGGGTGGTTTTGAAGAAACAGTATAATTCAGCAGCACTGAATGCCATATTTACTGTATTTCTAAACCGTTGTTTTAATACTTCGCTGATATTATCCTCCAGGAAGTGAAGCTGGAAGAATAAGGTCTTTTTCGAAACTGTTGGTACCTTGGCCTGCCTTGATTTTTGAGTTATATTCTTATCGATGAATTTTTCTGGATAACTGTTTTCACTGAGCAACTATTTCATGATATTGAGCTCTTCATTAAGACATTCATCAGAGTAGATTGCTCTTGCTCCGTGAACCAAACACTTTACCAGATCGCATTTGTATTTGAAAAGCACGAAGGTGAAAAAATGAGTATACTGGTAGTCAGTTGATTTAGATTTTCTATATACACTTCTTCTGATTGTGGCATCCTCTTTTCTGGTCATAAGGACGCCTAGGAATGAAATATTAGAGTCTCTTTCTTTCTCAGTGGTAAAATTTATTTCAGGATGAACACCGTTAAATTTATGCAGCCTGTTCTTTGCTTCATCCTCATTTTTAATCATAATTAAAAACGTATCATCCACCCGTGTACACCGACAATGGAATTCTATTTCATCAATTAAAACTTTCAAAGGCCCATTTTCTAGTTTCGCAAGGAAAATGTCGGCCCCATTGCCACACCATCGACTAGTCCGTATAGTATACAATAAGATGTATATACAATTTAATCAAACTGACAATTCGAAAGGATTGTTTCGCTGCCGTTACCTTTAGAAACCGTAATTATTATTCAGGCCACAATGCTGCAAATAATCTCTTTGATAGCAAAATTGATAGTCAATCAAGAAAACAAGCGTAAATGCGTAAAACTGGTAAATTATTGATTCCTTGAGATAAATAGTTGTATACCACTCACATCAACTAAAAGTACTCACTAGGTAGACGGCTGTTTCGGTCGTTTGAGACCGAACTTATCAGTGGTATACTCACTCGATTTGACCCAGCTTCAGATAGCATGATCCCTTCAAACCACCTAATCGTTGGCTAGCAAGTTATGTGAACTTCTGATACTATAAAAATTCGAACAACCAAGGCGCTTAGATCACTTCAATCCGATTGGCTGGCTAGAAAGCCCTACCGATTGTGATGTGAGTGGTATTCAACTACTCATTTCCATCATGGAATATACACATTTGATCATAGGGAATAATAAAAAAACGGTTGTCACGAAGGAAATTTGTCTTTTCGACGAAACCAGCATTAACCAGGGCTGTACATTGGTGTATTTATAGCATAAATGCGTAGGAAGGTTCCAGAATAATTTCTAGTCAAAGATCAGATTAATAAAATTACAATTAGGAATTAAAATTCCGTAAGAAACAGGGGGTGGGTGGCTGGATAAAACTGAAACCAAATAGCATTATAACTACTGAGAAGATTGACATATCGTGCAATTAGAGGTTAGAAATGTAGAAATAACAAAAATAGACAGGATGTCTGCATAAAAAATCTAGTGGGATCATAACTAATATGACGAATAATTGTTTATGCATTTAGGAGTTAAATATGTAGAAATAATAAAATGACAAATTAGACAGGAAGTTCGGTTATGAAAATATGGTAGTGTAAATAGGGATTAAGAAAACAGGAACTTTGGATAAGAAAGGCTATGGGATTGTCATTGCTAAAAGAATTACCTGTTTATGATGGCCATGGCAGGGACAAGGGTTGAACATATTTCTTTTGGATAAATAGTGTGGGTTTGAGTATTTAGATGACTACTGCATCGGCTATACCCAGATGTGTTAATTTTACTCCCTTTGATAGGTTTGATCGAATCTAGTAAATTATTTTGAGGGATTTTTCGAATGTTGCTGAATGGCCTGAATTGACTAGGTGTTCTGTCACCGAATTATGTACCCGTTTTCGTTCTCCTTTTACTAACCAGGCTGGATAGTGTTCACGAGTGCGTTTCTAAAGCTGGCGCATGGTTCGGCCGATGTACTCAGCTCCGCAAGAGCAAGTTTTTCTTAATCCCTATTCACACTACCATATTTTCATAACCGAACTTCCTGTCTAATTTGCCATTTCATTATTACTTCTGTATATTTAATTCCTAATTGCATAAACAATTATTCGTCAAATTAGTTATGATCCTACTAGATTTTGTTATCCAAACATCCTGTCTATTTTTATTATTTCTACATTTCTAGTCCCTAATTGCACAATATGTCAATCTTCTCAGTAATTATGATGCTACTCTGTTTGAGTTTTATCCACCCGCCCTGTTTCTTACGGAATTTTAATTCCTAATTGTAATTTTTAATAATAATAATTTGCTTTATTCCAAAACAGTACTTGTGATACAGAATGGAATTCTCAGTATTTTTACTACAGAATTGCATCCAGTTAGTCCATTATCAATAAATAGTAATTCTACATAGATTAAGGGTAGTCTCAGTTCATTATGACAACAACATATTCGCATGTCGGTAGCAAAGACAAAGCTGAACAGTGTTTGAAGGTGTTAGGAAAGAAAGTACTATCATATTTACTGGCGTAATCGAGAGAAAGAAACAAAGCAGCACATAACGGAAAAAAAGAACAAAAAAGAGAGAGGAAAGGAAAAGAAAGAAATAAAATGTTGTACCTATAAATGATATGAGTCGGAAAGACGAGATCCAGTTGTTCTACTGACTATTTAATGAATTATAGGTGTCACGCCTAATGCTTTCTTCATCGCACATCACACGAGCCAATTAGGGTATGGTTGAGTTTTTGTACTTGCTGGCGCGAGCATATAGGTTTCTATATAGGCTTCTGGTTTTATCTGATGAGATGCAAGGGGAGAGTTGTGAGTGAAGAGGGTGGTATGAGTTAGATAAAATGGACTTGGCCCATTTTTCACATGAGTCCATGTGCCTGTCAACCAGAATATTAACAAGCTGGTTAATTGGCACGTTGCTTACCCTGCTGACAACCTTTAACATTCTGCGTAATATGTTTTAGTCTTTCTTCAGTAGCCCGGGAAAAGCTAAGGAACTGAGGAACAATAGAGAATAATAGACAGAATGCGAGAGTTAACGAATTGTAGGAGAAAGGGTTGGGTTATACCAGAATGTCTTAACTTCTTGATGCAGAAGGTAAGACGGAATATTTTCTTAGAAATCGCCAAGATATGAGACGACCAGGAAAGATCAGCAGATAGAATGACACCTAGGTATTTAATTTCCGACTTGGTTTCTATTTCAGTGCTATCTATGTTGCACACCTCGTGAGGGCTAACCAGATTAATGCCTAAAGGTGAAATAGACTGTTTGGCATTTGGAGGGGTATAGGGTAAGACCGTTTTCCTTGGACCACTGGCTGATTTCTGACAGAAACTCATTTAGTTTAGAGCAGTCACTTTGACATTTGACAGGCAAAGATACAGTCAGGTCGTCAGCATATTTGACAAAATTAATGTCATTTGAAGATGGATATTTTATTAATGTGATCCTTGACCAGAAATTATTCTGGAACTTTCCTACCCATTTACCATAAATACACGAATAATGTACAGCCTAGTTGATGCTGGCTTCGTCGAAAAGACAAATTTTCTCCGCAGCAACTGTCTTTTCATTTCAATCAATCAGTAGTATATATACTTTTTTATGCATATACTACTACTAATACGGTGAATAGTAGTAAAGATAACTTACTTCATTCAATGTGATTGGTTTTTTCGTTTTTGGATCTTCACACACGTGTACATTTGCTTTAGTACGTATAGTTTTCTTGATAAAACGCAGCAAATGCTTTTGATTCATACATGATGAGGCGTGCAAGTGTGTGTCAACCTAGTATATAAAACAGACAAGACAAATAAGTGTTCTGTACATACATACACACACGTAAAAATAATTACAGTATATACACATTAACTTTGAGTGTATAAAATTCTGCATTATTTCTGTAACACCACAGTGATAACTTGATATTCAAAACAGAAGACCATGATATTATTATTATTATTCCTTTGGATTCCTAGTGGAACATAGCGCTCCAACTGCACGTATCCACTTGCTTCTGTCTCCTGCTGTACTTTTCACCTGCATCCATCTTAGTCCATACTGTTTCAACTCCTCCTCACACGATCTCCTCCATGTCACCCTTGCACTGACGTCCCACTCGCCACTTCCCCTTCGGGTTCCACTCGAACTATGGCCTTACGCGCGATGTCACCCAGCGAGTGGCCTCCTCAGCCAGTGAGTGTCCAATGCATCGCCACTTTCTCCTGCATATTTGTTGAGCGATTGCTTCTTGTTCTTTCCGGCGGCCATCTGATCTTCAGTATAGAGCCAGCGAAGACAGTTAGTTGTTGATAAAGGTCCGCAACAGGCTGTTGCAAATACTCATTCTTTGTGACCCGCCGCCAAGTTTCTGATCCATCCGTATAGAAGAAGTGACTGACTGACTTGACGTTTGTATTGAAAATCCGAATTTTGTTGTTGATGCTGAGTTGAGTGACAGCGGAAGATTTCCAGATTGGTTTCAGGTTGATAAATATGTTTCTCACTTTCTGAATTCTCGATTTGACATCCTCGTCCGTTCCTCGTGTAGTTGAGACAATGCCCCCTAGATAAGTGAATGAAGTAACCTCTTTCATCAAATCCCCCCCGTTGATGGTGATTGTTGCTGGATATTGCTGTTGTTGCTGCTGTTGTTGTTGTTGGTTGGTTGGTTATTTTCATAACCTCCGTCTTGTCTATGTTCACCTGGAGTCCTGTCTTTGCTGCTTCTTCAACCAGTTTGTCGGTTTCCGCTTGTAAGTTTTCGATTTTGTGTGACATCAAACATAAATCATCTGCGGAATCCAGGTCTTCTAGGTTCTTCACATCGGTCCAGGATATCCCTGTCTTCTGGTTTCCCACTGTCTGACGCATAATCCAGTCAACCACAATTAGGAATATCATTGGTGATAACAAGCACCCTTGTCAGACTCCTGTGTTTACTCCAAACGCCTCGCTGAGGTTTCCGCTGTGGATCACTTGACATGTTACGTTGTCGTACAGCTGTTGAATAAGGTTGGTGAATATTTGGGGTACGCCGTAGTACTTGAGTAGTCCACCCGGATTAAGTGTATAGTATTTACACATAAAGGATTTACACAACGTCTTTTATCAGCAGCTGAAGCGGTTGCAATTAATACCAGAAGACCATCTCTTTGCATACAGAGTATGTTCAACCTCTATGTTTACCTTGGCCTACAATAAAGCCAACAAATCCTCCATTAACACTGTAAATTCCTTTCACAATTTTCTTCTCTTTTCTTCTTCTTCTTCTATTCCTCTGTTTCGTTGACAAACTTTTATTTTCGACTTTTCTGATTTCATGACCTTTCTTATGATTTTATTACCTTAGGTTTAAATAGTGCTTTTCTAACTTGCTATCGTATTTACAAAATCCTATTCATTCCACTTCATTATATTCATTATTATTATTATTATATGACAATCATTCACCAATAGTACTTTCGATTTTACACCACATCATCGTTATTATTGTCGTTATTTTCAACCTTGAACTTATGTCTAGTCCGCCCAATTCGTTGGTTTATTTTCATATTGTCACACACACCCTGATTACAATCACTCTCGAAACCTGTAATTTTCTGTTGACTATATTTATATACTATATATATACACACTCATCATTAAATTATTTCATCTCATGTTCTCATTGACCATGCATATTAAAACACTAACTGACTATTGTCCCATCCCATCTTATACTTGTTCCACAATACACTTTCTGATATCATTCTAATTTGCCTTTATTGACTCGCCATTGTATGCTTAAATTAATGGATTTATAACTATAGAGCCTGAAGAGGGAAGAATTTATTGAAAAAAATTGTTCGCTGTAAATATTTTGTTCTGAACATACATAGGGTCCTGCGACATATCGTCCGGAACGAGAAGACATTCATACTTTTCTAAAATATTTTTTAAATTTTATTATAGCTTGATTCCACACAGTATTTTGGTACAAGTACGAAATTTTCAGCATGTGATATCGGTAGCCCAAATTTAGCAGGCCGACCATAGATATCAAGTGGGCGTCAGCGGGGGATCGAACCTCGGACCATGTGCATGGTCGGTGAGTGTCCTAACCACTGTGCCACCGACGCACCACTAAGAAAACTCTGCAAGATTTGAACTTCACAGGTGACTTATGTCTAGTGTCAAACGAACTCAACGATCTACGGGTGAAGATCAACAAGTCGACAGAAGATGCGGATGTGATGAAGATAACCAACAACAACAAGCACCAGTTGCTATCAAGAGGAGAAATTTAAAGGATGTCGCCTCTTCTATCTATCTATCTATCCAAGAAGCATCGTTACAACTACATGTGTGTCTCATAAAGACTTCATGGTCAGGATGGAAACAGCAATACGGATCATCACTGCATAATAGTCAATCGGTGAGAAAGGATAAACAACAGGGAACTCTAACCACGAACCAACAAAGAACCCATTGCCCAAGAAATAGTCACAGAATTACACGCAAAAGGATTAAGAAGACCATCGAGTACCATCACACGCTAACCAGGCTGTCGAGTAGGGACCCAGATGAGAAACGATAAGTTGGACTTCTGAGAGTGAGATGAAGAAGAATGTATGTATGTTCGGGAAATGAAAGCTAGTTGGCAAATGTAGGAGCAGTTGAAAAGGACTTCAGAGGTCAGGATGAAATGGAGACGGGCTTTTCAAGCCCTTTATTTCACTGAAAATCCAAAGGAATAACAATAAACAATAATGCGTGTAACCGGATCCAAACAGTTGCCTCCTGAGTTATGCGGTCATGCAACACTCCCACGGTGTGAACTGCCGGGGATTAATAACTGCTCACACAGTTTCAAAAGTACACGAAGCCGTCTTCTCAAGTATGTCAGTCAGGTGAGCATCTTCATCACCTCAGTCTTCTCTATGTTCACTCGAAGTCCTGTCTTTGCTGCCTCTTCAGCCAACTACTTGGTTCCCGCCTGCAGATCACCGAGTTTGTGTGACATTAGAAATAAATCATCCACGATGTTTAGATCCTCTAAAAACCTTTTCTCAGCCCAACGTATACCCATCCTCTCACTCCCCACGGTCTTCAGCATAACCCAGTCCACCAAAATCCTTGATATTATGGGTGATAGTAGGCAACCTTGTCTTACTTCTGTTTTTACTTGAAAGGATTCATCTAGCACGGATCCAAAAAGCTCGGGCTGCTTTCGCTAACTTACACCGTCTCTGGCGTAGGCGTGACATCCGGCTATCAACCAAGGGACGTGTATACTGCTCAGCAGTTCGCTCCGTCCTTCTCTATGGTGGTGAGACGTGGCCATTGAGAGCGGAAGACATGAAAAGTTGACTGTTTTTAATCATAGATGTCTACTATCTCCTTCTCACGTTAGGTGGCATAATAAGGTAGGTATTGTTGACGTTAGGTTAGGCGTAGAGTATTGGGCAAAGAGGGAAAATCAATCGAAGAAGCTATAAAGTTACATAGATTGAGATGGCTAGGTCACGTGCTGCGCATGCCTAAACATCGCCTCCCCCACCCCGACGGGCATTACTAGCTGATATAGGTGCAGGTTGGAAAAGAGTAAGTGGTGACCAAACAAAAACATGGCGTCAATCAATCCATGAAATCCTTGACAGTTAAATTGAGTCAGGTAGGGAGATGCAGACTTCCGGGTTGGGGCCCTCGGGACTCTAAGAATCAATGGCTGGAGACAATAGGTGGCATGGCTCAAAATCGTTGTCAATGGATTAAGCAGATGTATTCAGTTTCTGTAATCTTTCATATTCCTTTCTACCATTACTCATTCTGTTTCACTCTTATACTTATCAAAACTCTATTGATTCTCTTCACTCATCTTCTTGTCTACCTTTGTGTGCTATTTGGAACGTGGCAACTGGAGCTGCGGCACTTCGGTGCCAAGTTCTATGTTGAATCCAGACAGACAGACATTCATCTAGCCAAGTTTACTAACGATTTCAAAGACTTGAAAAAGAAGGAAAGTTGTTGGGTATAGAGGCTACCGATCCTACCCTCAACAAATCCGTTAATAACCCAACTTTAAGCATTAATAATATAACAAAAAATAGTAACTAACCTTACGAATATTATAGAAATCTCTATGTGATACACGTTTCTGTTCAAGTGATTCACGAGCTTCATTCAGTAGAGAATGCAGTTGAAACTTGGAAGCTAAATAGGTGAGTCGACGATAACAGAATGATTTCAATGGACCATCGGCTACAAATGTACGTATTGTATCAAAATCTGAGAAAAAGGTTTGTAAACAGGGCACATTGAATACTGGTAAATCGTTATCGTTATCGTTATCATCATCATCACCATCAACGTCACCGTGATCATTATTTGTCTGATGGACTTCGCCGTTCTCCTTGTCAGTACTCCCCGAAACACCGCTACCACCACCACCGCTACCATTAACCGTTTCACGTACACGTGTAACATGCATAATCCCTTTGTGGAATTCAAGTTTCACATTCAACGGTTCAGGCCAATAGTCGATTTCGAATGGATCACCGGTTTTTTCAGGTGGATGTATGGGATGATCTAATATAATGGAACGAAATTAAAACAAAAATTAAACAGTTTCATACATTTATTAGCCCTTTATTTGAATTTGAATAAAGTAAGAATAATACAGTGGTTTGTGGAGAATAAAATACTACCATCATTGTCTATTTCGTCGACTTCTCATCACCCGCTGCTTACAGCCTGAAAAAGTCATCATTAAAATTTAATTTGTGGATGGTGACTAACAGTGGAATCCAGGATGTGCATTTCGTCCCATTTTGGACTCGTCATCTGGATGCACCTGCATTTTCCCAGTGAGTGATGATGTTCCCACCGAGGCTCGAACCCAGCGCCCCGGTGGGAACATCATCACGCACTGGGAAAATGCAGGTGCATCCAGATGACGAGTCCAAAATGGGACGAAACGCACAACCCAGATTCCACTGTTAGACACCATCCACAAATTAAATTCTAATTAAATGCTCAGACATCGTCGAAGCATCTGCACAAGAAGCCGACCGACATGCCAACCTGAGACCGAGCACTTCAGTGCAATCAAACGATAGGAAAAATCTAAAATTCAATTAAAGTCATCATTAAGTCTATGTACAGAAACAGTTTCAACATACTTACCCACAAACAGTTCAAGTTAAAACAAAAAACCAATACATGCATACAGTGGCAATAATAATAATAATAACGATAATAATGGTCACTTTATTCCAAACAACAGTAGTAATCATACAGAATGCAAATTTTCAGCGTTACGTAATCAAATGAAAGAGAGAAGGTGAAGACACCCAGTTACCAACCAGAGCAAGGAAAGACTGAGAACCGTTTCTTTCTGAACACAAATAAATCACGTTTCAGTTGCTTGATGGAGATTACTTAGGCTAACTTGAGGAGAACTAAGCTATTTTGTCTCTTCAGGATTTTCAAGGATTTTTCAGTGTCCACCTCATGACCCATATTGATGTCTGATATTATCGAAATCGTTCGTACCCTAGAGACGTAGGCTTTTTGGTACATATTCAAAAAATTGAAAATGTTTCCTTCTTTCTGTTCTACTAATGTAACTGCTCCCGCAGATACATGTAAATTTATATACACAGAGTTTCCATAAGAAGGATGTCTGTCGACTTTTGATTGCATCAAACAGACTGTTGTCCGATAAACGAGGAGTAACTAAGCTGCAGGATAGATTCTGGCTAATGACGCATTCAATCTTGTATTGATTATTTCTGCAATATTATCACCTTTCGAATCGAGTTGAATGAAGACAGGCGTTTTTTCCCACTGTGATTTAATTGGCTCTTGAACCTTCACACCTTTCGTATTTGTTAATAAACCTTTGAGAGTAACTGTTGTTTTTCAATGTCTTTTTTGAGAATCAGAAATTCCTTGATCGGACAGTAGTAACTAGTGTGGTATGTTTAGTCCTTGGTGTTTGGTGCAGACTGAATTCTACCAGTCAGGTTTACAATGTGGCCACCATTCTAGGTAACTCGCCTTGCTGACGAATTCCAACTAGCACGAAACCTAGGTACAGCCAAGGCTTCCTGACGATTGCCTCCAACCACCTGATATCATCAAATCAACGTGCACCGTGATGGTGAGCCACATTGCGAACCTCACTGACAGAATTCAGTCTGCACCAAACGTAAAGGACTAGACACATCACACTAGTTACTAGTGTCCAATGAAAGTATCCGATACAGTCCTACAGGAGTTAAATAGTGAGCCAGCCCGAAGAGCACAGTGGTAACGTCTGTAACTGCAGCACTGATTGACGTAGATTCGAATCTCAGGAGGGACATGAATTCCTTCAAGGTTTCAGATAGGCCTTATTGACTGATGAGTGCCAATTAGCACGAAACCTAAGTACAGTCAAGGCTTCCTGTGGCCGATTGCCTTCAATCATCTAATACCATCAAATCAGAAATTCTTCCTCGAATTTGTACGTATAACAGATTCTTGTGACTCTATAGAACAGAGTTTTGCCCAGTAAAGGTTTAAAGCTATTTGGACAGAAACTACTAAAATGTTCGTTTCATATTGTTCGTTTCGTATCGCCTTTCTGTAAATTGGCTCCCGGAGACTGCCATCTTTCAGGCATTGCCGAAGCAATCCTCACCGAGCACCTAAAACACAACTTATGTGTGTTCAGAAAGAAAAAGGTGATCAGTGTTTCTTCACCCTGGTCGGTAAAATGGATGTCTTCACCTTCTGTCTTTCATTTGATTACGTAACGGTAAAAGTTTGCATTCTGTATGATTATTATTGTTGTTTGGAATAAAGTGATTATTATTATTATTACTATTATTATTACCACTCTATGCATGTATTGGTTTCTTGTTTAGACTTGCTTGCTTTATTCACAGATATTTTGAATTATGAAGAATCTGTAAGATACAAATAACCATAGCAACCAAACCTAAGATGCATAGAACATGAATTACGAATAGTGAACATAGGGCAACATGGTGGGGGCACTTTTATGAACGGAGACAAGCAGAAACATTAACTTTTTCTTGAAAATATAAATTTTAAACAAAGAGGGAGAGTGGCAAATCAACATGCAACTTTTGGGCATATATATATATATATATATATATCGAGTTTACATAATGGACATTTCATCAATTTTACAAACGACTGATAATTATTTCATTAAAAGAGGGAATGATTTAGTTTGCTTCAGACTAACCATTATGTTGTTTTAAGTTTTGATAAGAGACTGACATCAAGTGTTGGTTTGTAGGGATTTGGCTGATTGGTTACAGGATTTTCATCATGAGCTGACATTAGTTAAAGAACCATTGGAAAACCTGGGAGTACTGGACAGCTGTTTCGTCCTAGTTTGAGACTCTTCAGCAGTATGCACCCACCACCATAGTTCGAACTCAGGACCTTCTGGTTACAAGGCGGGCTCGTATACCATTAAGCCACTGGGACCCGATCCAATGGCCAGCCCATGAATTCTAACTTCTGCCAATTCACGACTGATATAAGTTAGAGAAATATCCATTGAAAACCAGTAAGTATTGGTGAGTTGTGTCGTCCTCATTGTGAACTCTTCAGCAATATACATCAATCAGCTGAACACCAGGGGATTGAACCCAGGACAAGTTTGTTGACCATTCAGCTAACGAAACCGAATCCAATGACCCAAGCATGAATTTTAACTTCTGCCAGTTCGTAATACATAGGCGCCACCACCACCAACTAATGTCCTCACATCCAACTTGGTGGATAACACTGGTGACAAGTTTACGACACTAGGACGACTCCAACAGAATTAAGCCATTGGGACCCAACTCAATGCTTCATAAATTCTAACTTCTGCTAATTCGTAATATAATACTTAGTGCAATCGCCAGCCAATGCCACAGGCGACTGACTTGATGGAGCCCACTTGTCATACGACTTCTAACTAGAACCTTCCAGCTCTCCGTGTAACCGGAATGTCCTGGATTCGAACTCTGGAGATGGGTGCGTACCGCTGAAGAGTCCCAAACTAGGCTAACAAGACAGCTGTCCAGTAACTCCTAGGTTCTCTAACTTTTATCAACTCATGATCAATCCTATAACCGATCAAATCCCTAAAAACAACCAACACTTGAATAACTTTTTAGAATCGGGATCACAATGATTTGATCGATTTAAAAAAATCGATGATGAACAGACTTAAATTATCAGTACAGCTACTACTATTCAGTTGTTTACGGTTAATGAAAGATGAACTCAAAGTAGTAACAAGCTCAACCCACCGACAAACATACAAGTACCCAAAAAAAAACCCGCTCGTAAACAAGAGTATGTACTTACTCAACCAGTGATGGCATAAATACATTTATACGTTCACAAGGTCATGATGTTTAACAAATGCTAACAAATTGAATTAGAAGCATTCTTGTTTTGTTGTAGAAAAACTGCCTTATTTGCATAATAATGAATTATTTGATGAATATATAGGTGAGAAATTTATTCATTCCCCTTTTTTTAGTAGATCATAGTTTGAAAAATAAAAAATTGAATACTTCTCAATTACCACAGCTTATTTGAAACTAGGAAGGCTATGAGTAAGACTTGAGTCGATACGAACATCTTTACTTAGACACATAGTTCGGAGGATTAAATAACAATGAGACTAAATACACAGATCAAAATAATCGGCTGAGGTGAATTACTTTGTTGGAACACAGAAACTTAACTAAGTCATCCCTTTGCATTTCCAGTAAAACATATACAGGGCGTTTTAAACCTTCGAAGTTTCAGTAGCAGCAGTGTTGTTTCTTTTACGCGGTTGGGTTTGTAGTCTCACATCCAACATTCCCCCTCCCTCACGTGATAAGTAAACTACACGAGGTTTAGTAGTGTGCTGGTCCTGCATGGTTCCCGAGCACTCAACTATCGATTTCTCTATAACCTCACCTCATAACTTGAAGATCCTAGAATCAAAACCTCTTATGGTGAAGTCATGTCTACACGTGCTGCTTTGAAGAGACCCAAACTAGGACGAAACAGCTGATTGATACTCTCTAGTCTTCAATACTGGTTCTCTAACTGGTCCGTCACTCTGTGATCAAACTTTTAAAAAACGAAAGTTGTGTGGTGTTTAAAGGGTTGCTGAGTGGTACAGAATGAAGTTTTAATATCAGCTGTCGCGTAGAAGCTCTACAAAGGAAGCACATAATTTGAAGTAATTTGATAGGCGGTGACTAGCAACGGAATCCAGGAGAACACGCATTTCGTCCTATTCGGGACTCATCAGCTAGTATATGTAAATGATGGCGATCATATTGAGGCTGGAACTCAGTACCCATAGTTTCAAACCCCTAAGCATTATCCATTAGACTATTTGGGCTACTAGCACCATCTCTTTCTTGTGCAACGGGTATCAGTGCTTGCCAACTGGCGCCTAGCACTTCCGTCCAATTAATCGACAGGAAAGTTTACATTGAATTAGGCAAAAAAGAAAGTAGATAATTTTAAATTAAATAGAGCATAAATTTCACCTTAGTTATCACATAACT